AACCAGCCCTATGATATAAAGACTGATCAAGGAAACAGGAACATAATCACAATTTTACAAAAGTGCTGCCCGTCTTTGTTTATCATGTTTTCATCATATATTTGAAAACAATCCAAATAATTGAAATTCTTTATTGTAACAAAACATTTTCTAAAATGATTGAAATAAACTAAAACAACAAGCAATACCGAGAAAATAGAAGTATTTTATAACAAAGTTTGCATTATCAAACAGAGTGGAAGAGAGTTTGCGTTGCGCTTTATGGTAAAGGTTACGTTTAGTGTCAGATATAGACTGCACGAAAACGTTTCTTGTTAGTGTTTCATTTTCTTTTATTTTTACCATGATGGAGTTGTTAAGTGGTGTATTATAGAATAACAAGTTTATCTCGGGGTTTTAGAGTCTTTGTAGTTGAGGATAATAAGTTTGACATATAGCTTATAGACTAATAGCATTTATTATACATCTATTGACATTCCTGTGGAATATGATCAATTGGAGCTACCAGAGATTGTTAGTTAACCGTGTTATATGAACGATAAAAAAATTCCCACAACTTTATAAAAAGGACATATGTGATACAAGGGGAAATGACAAGCAATTGAATGTGTATCCAGTTTTTCGTAACACAAAGTTCAGAAAATATCTAACATTATATATGAACGACATAAGAAACATGGACAGATTGTGTAAGGATAGTAATGGGTACTTGAACGCTTCAATGTTCAATGCGTGGACATGCTCTTTGTGCTATATCTATCTATTTCCGGGTGGGAAATTGAAATTTTATTTCAATATGTCTTCACCTGGTTTAATTGACTTAGATGATAACTCACACTCCAACAATATACCGGAAATAAAGGTAGGTTTTTAACTATTTATTTAATTTTTACGCACGTTGATTCGTCTTTGGCTATGCCTATACTTATAATATTAGTTTCAACATATTTCGTTACCAAATATATACATATATATATAAAAATACAAATCAAACATTTTTATATTCAAGAAAAGGCTAAGAACGCAAGACCAAGTCTTATAAAAAAAGTCTCCTCCTTTTTGGTGTATTTTTATAATGTAACAAGTTGTGTACTGTATCAAAAAGTATGACAAGTAGGGAATATAAATATACTATACTTATTAAAGTATACTCAATATATATTTATATTTGAAACATATCCTTGTGTATGAATTTTATTATAATGCAAATTGCACCTTATGATTCCGTACCTGTTGTCAAAATATTGCTCAAGACAAAAGCACAATTTTTTCTGCCATTTAGAAAAACATTATTAGATATATTTTCTCTTTCTTAGAACTCCGAAATGTTTTCCAAATAAGAAAGATATACATCTTCCAGGACCAAGAAAGTGTATTACTTGTAGGAAATGAATGTTTATATCATATCTAAGTTGACTGATTATTCGCCTTAGAAAACTGATAGATGCTGTATCAAATGCAAATATGACGGTTTTGTTACAGATGTAATTTGTGTTAGCAGCGGCAATATGTATTTAACCAAACGTTTATTTTCCTGTTGCGTTTATTCACGAATAAATCATACAAATTCATAGTTCGCGAAAAAGTTCTGGGATGCACTTAAAATGCATTCAGTGCCCTTTGTGGGGATTTAATCCGAGGCTCTTGGTCTTTTTTTCCAAATAATGGATGTGTCATATATCTGAGATTTATTAATAATGACTTTGTAAAGCTGTATGCCTCCAGATAAATCAAAATATTTCTAGAAAATCAAACTAGAGGAAAAAGTAAAAAGATTCATGATAAAAGTAATAGATCTAATTTCCATGTAAGTGCAATTAATGACAAGTTTTCTAGTATTTTGTACCATATTTCTACTATGTTACTTAGTAAGGGCTATTATAACATTTTTTGACATCTTTATGGTAATGTACATGGTTTTTAAGTGCCATTTGCAATATGAAATAACTTTACATTATTTTACTTTTTAATACATTTTAGATATTTTCACAAAAAAAGCATGAATCTAGAGGCGTGCTGCTTTAAACGCAACCAAAATACTGCTAGAGAAAAAAGTTCTTTTATCAGAAATTAAATCTCAATGAGTATACCTTTTATTCGTAGTTTAATAAGCTTTGAAAAGCCAATTGTCAGTGTGACTCAAAACTTGATAAGAATTTGATGAAAATGAATGAGTTTTTTTTATGAAATAACAACTTACGGACATAATCTTTAAAATTTAATAACAAGTATGTTCCATAACATTCCCTCTGTACATGCAAATTTGATAACAGTTTCCAGCAAAAAAGACATTTAATTTATAGGTATGTAATAAACTGGAAGCGGTGCAAATTCCAAAATTTTGAAACCAACGTGATTCCATGAAATTCTATTTCGTCATGCAGACTTGATACTTGAATTATTCGTCCTCTTTCAATATCTAAGGTACTCTCCGTACCGGTTTCTTATTCATTCCAGGAATGTCCGGCACTGCTATGTGTACAGAACATTCACTGATCCCTACTTTATCTTTTACGTAACACACCGTCTCACTTGTATATCTTCACCTGGTGTCTTATGGACAGTATGAATCAGTGTTCGCGCTCGGAAATAACATAAAAAAATCATTTTAAATTTTGATAAACGCCCGTACTATTTGCAAAACGTACATATATATGCATTTCGAACTTCCCGGTTGCGTTGTCATCATTTTGATTATCTCATTTAATTCGATTTAAAAAGTACACGAATAACTGTGTTAAATTTTGTTGTTAGTGAAATTTGTGTGTACCTTTCCTTTTTCCTTGCAACTGGTTAAATACACCATGCGTACGTTGAACTATGAAATTTATGATATGATAAAAATCATGCTAGATGCTTGTAGTTTGTTGATTGTTCATTGAAAAAGATCTCGTTTTGTTTTGTAGACAATAGTCGTTTTACGTGCACAAGTTGGCATTTCGTTTCTTTAAAAAGAAACTAATAATATTAATATATAATATAATAACTATGATAGCTTATAAAATAAAAATATGTTTTCGTATAACTAGCCCTGTGGTTAGATATTTTGATTGTGATTACACTTAATTTCTCAACAATGCAAATAATGTTCTATGTTTGTTAGAATAAACCTATTTAATGCGAATGCATGGAAAAAAATATATATCTCTAACGTATTTGACGTAAGTGGGAACAAATGTCCTTGTATGTATAACGCTCTGATAACATATTAACAATAATTGATAATATATGGAATGCAAATTGCTCTCCCTTGTACAAAAAACGACAACAAAATATATCACTTAATAACCTTTTTTCGTGAGACTTTAACCTAATACATATTACTAGGAGGTTAATGGGTTAATGATCTTGTAATGTGTTGAATAACGTAATCACAAAACAAATGATAACAATGTTATTTCATATATTTTCATTAAATGCCTAATATATTTTGTACTTAAAATGTTTTTCGTTCATATTTCTAAAATCAGTGATTCTATCAAGATAGGAATGACTGACTTTCATACAGACAGAACAAATAACAAACATATGTTCTTGTGCAAATAACAAAGATAAATCATATCTGTTTTTAATCACAGTTTTCCCGTCAATTTATTCATTAATTACTATGATGTTCACAGTATCATTGATATTTAACTATCTTTCGAAAGGAATCAATGCTTATACTTGTCATATCGTAGAACCCCCAAGTCTTAGTAGTCTTTAAGGTTTTAATGGCTATATTTTAGTATTTTCCACAATTTTAGTGTCGTTCTTTTAAAGTATATGTAGTACATGAACAATATTCTCTCTCTCTCTCTCCCATGATTTCTCATTAAACATATTTGTTTTAGGATATCTTTTTATTTGATATGCTTTTCTATAATATCATATTTCCAAATCTCCGTTTTCTGCTTGAAAATATTCTAATAAGGTCGCTTACCAAAGTATGCAATAAAAGGGAAATTAAGAACTTCTTGAGATGAAATTTTGAAATAATTTTTCCGTTGCCGACAATGAGTACAAAATGCATAAAAAAAGAGAAATAGTTTTGTAAAATAGAATTTACATTTACTGTTTGTTATTCATGCACTGAACTTGCAAACATATCAACGTTTGCATGATGTTCCCACAAATTTCTACAAGCCTTTATCAAGAATGATATCTCAATATCCAACTTTTGTCTCAAAACAGTGTTATCTTATTGTATGATTAATGTTTTAATTTTCCACTATGTATCCTTTCATATATCGCATTATAAAGTTGTTAAAATCCTGAAAGATTTCCCCCCTTTTTTCGGAAATTTCTTTTTTTTGTTTAAATTCCAAAATCACTTTTCCTTTATTTTTCCCTTTGCATTTGATCAGCTTTAAACCCCGACGTTTTTTTTAGGGGATTGTATTAAATATTTTAAAACAAAACATGAAGATTTTTAAAAAAGTATAGGGAAATTGCATTTTTATTTTGACTTTTTTTCTTACTGTAAAAATCAAGCAATTTTTTTAAAAAGTTAATTTTTCGATACTCAAAAATTAATATTTTTTCAACTCGGGTTTTTAAAAGCTCTTCTAACTGATGAGGTTGTTTTTTTGGGTTTTTTTTTACGGGGACCCAAAACAATAAGGGCATACGTCGCCCAAAAAATTTGTTCGTACTTAAAAAAACACACCAAAGCCCCCATTTAAGCCATTTAAAAATTTTTTTAAGGGGAACAATGTTTGATGAATTAAGACCCCTGTTTAAAGTTTTATTTTTTTAATCATTCTGGGGTCAAACCCAAAAAGTTGTTTTCCACATTTGTTCTAGAATTTTTAGAATCGGTAGTGGTTTTTTTTAAAACAAATTTTGTTCTGTATTCAAAAATATAAATATTTAAAAAAACTCGTTAAATCAAACACTACTCGTAAATCATGCGATTTAAAAAGATAATATCCAAAATATTAAGGGTTTTTTTTTTAAAATTTTAATACAAATTTTTTTTCACTTACTTTGGTTTAAAGTGTTTTCATTTTTTTTTTTAGGTTCAAAGTACATTTGCAACAGTCTGGGAGAACAACATTGCAGGAGATGGAATGAGTGTTGTAAAGCAGCTGACAATTGTTGCCAACACCAACTGAAAACACGTATTTCTCCTCTAGAAAGTATGCAAAAACTATATTTCTTGTTGATAAGCAATATGAATAAATACTTTGTGTCGATAACGACATAAAATGAAAGATAATAATGCAAATATTATGAAAGGTAGTGTTTCTTATTATAGCTCAAATCACTTATGATCGCCCTTTTTGGCTGAAGGATTGCCTTTAATGGCTGAGGCATAATAATTCATCCCTGCGTGATCGTAAGATGCAACTAAAATGGTTTTAAAGACGTTTTCCGGAGTTTTTACATAAACATATAGGCAAAATTAAAACTGTTCAATAGAATTTCTTTAAACTTGGCATGTTACATGTATTAGAAAATAATAACAGACGATAATTAAGACGATTTATGATCAACGAGAAAGGAGTCCCCAATGTTTTCACTGAAAATGTTTCTGTTATCATATTCTAATAATATGCCAAGTTTAAAGAAATTTTAAATTAACAGTTTTAATTTTACCTTTATGTCTATATGAAAACTCGCGAAAACTTCCTTCATAACTTTAGTCTGTGCATTTCTTAGCAATAGCAGGTGAGGTTATTTTCACCCCTGGTGTTGCTTTGAAGTTCGAAAAACACGAGGCTATCAAATTTTGTAAAAAAGCCAAACCAAACAAAACAAAACAGAATATAAAACCAAAAAAGAAAGAAAAGCATTGATAATCTTTAAATAATTCAAAAGTTAAGTATATTTTTATATTCAATAGTGATATATAGTGAACGAACTTTATTGCCCAACAAACATTGAAATAACTATTTCATTTCTTATGTGATTAACACGAAATGTACGGTTAGTATGCTTATGTTCCAATTTTTCATTTGGAAAAAAAAGTATCTTCTTAAAAGGTTTAAGAAGACTTTCCTCTAAAAGTATGTAAAAAATAAAATAAAATCTCAGTAGAGTCCCAGTAAAAATATTGTCGTTTGTGCCACTAGATTTTCAGATGCAATCTCTGTGTTTCTCTATGTCCCTCAGAAATAAATTATCCCAAGAAGATAAACAACAGCCGTGTTTATTTAGATAACGTAGAATAAACAAATATCTTAACACACGGGCATCCGTAAACTTTTGTTTGAAAATAATTTACAAAAGATTATTTCATTTTGTTTTCTTAAATAAATGGTGATATGTAAACTTGCCTTGATAATTGTTTTCTTTTCAAGGAAACATGTGCCCTCGTACATGGGATGGTCTTAAATGCTTTGATGATACTGATGCTGGAACTTCTGTTAAGTTTTCCTGCCCTGGATACATGAAAGATGGCAATATGCAAGGTTTGTTGAGTGTTGTCTCGATGCATTTAATTCACGCAATACAAATATATTATTTTCGTCCTGTATTAAACTGATATCAAAGTTGTATCAGCGCCCTTTTGTCTTGCGGTTGATAGAAGATAAGGCATATCTGACTTGAACTGTCTGAAATGGTTTACAATAACAAATAGCAAAGTATAATTATATTCGTTCACGCTATAAGGCATTTTACTCGTCGGCAAACGAGAATGGTTTTATGTTTTACTTGGGATTTTTTGTGTTGTTGTTTTTTTTGTGGTTTATTTAAATTTTTTTTAGTTTTAGTTTTGTTGTTGTTTGCATGTTATTATTTATTATCATTATTATTTCTACAGTAAAAATATACACTTAAGCTATTAAGCAATACTAACGATTTTCCGGTTGTATGAAATCGAAAAAAAAAATAATAGACAAGTTTACTTTTAGGTCATTAACTTATATGACGGGCTATTCTAGGTCATGGTGTAAAGGACTGTACTGAAAGAGGCACCTGGGCAATACTGCCGATTTCCGGCAAAGAATGGACCAATTACACAGGGTGTATGAATATACAGGTTGGTACAAGTCGTCCTGATGTTTTATCACAATTAATCTTTTTTTTTTAATCTTTTTTTTTAATTCACTCAAAAACATAATTCTTATTAGAAATTTACTTGCTCGAAATTATTAATCAACAGAGCTTATTAGAAATTTATTTGAATAATTATGTGTTTTTTGCCACAGATTATTGCTAATAAAGGTAAAATGAGTTATTTCATAAGTTTTATCATGGTCAAAAAGAGTTGTGATTGAAATTTATATTGTACATAATAAACGATCTCTCTGATCCCCTTCCAAATTCCATCCATTGTTTTCTCGTTTAGGGCACAAACATTCTTTTAAAAGTGGATCATACACCACTTTTAATATAATGGCGCAAACGTGTCACATTAAAGGTTCTATAATAACCGCCGTACAAACACATCTACAGACGTTTTTTTTCCCAATTTTAACATTCATGTCTTTGATTGTTATGGGGCGTTAACGATCAATCAAACTGAGTCTGAAGACATTTTTCAATTTTCTCGTTTTGTTCGTTTCGGTTTCTTTAACATCTATTTTATTATTTTGTTGCCAGTATTCTTATAATAGATATAATTACGAAATGGTATTGTACGGTTCTATGTTTTGCTCAGGTTTTAATGTAGAGTAAAAGAATATGCTTCCATATTTCAGGGTATGAGCGGCGGTGCGTATACAGTGGTTTCAGCAAACACTTTCGGTCTTCTTCTAGTCACAGCTGTTGTCATTTGCATTGTTTTCGGATGAAAATAAAGGACTGTTTTATAGCTTAAACATGTTTATCATAGCATTATCAATCATTTGAAAAATACTGCTTCGATAATTTCCTTTATTAGACACATTATGAGAAGAAATCCGGAATACACAAAACTGTTTTTGATAAAACATTGCTTTTGCGGATTGGGGGAAGGAAACAAATACATAAACACAAAAATGTAAACGTCAGCATAGACAAAGAACACTAAATCATTGCAATGTTCCAGACCAGACAATTAGTGTCTATTTACAATCCCTTACATTCTCAACGCATGTCCAATTTATATGAAACATAAACACGGACAAAACTAATTAACAAATAAAAAGCAATGTTTTACTTTTTAATTCGAGATTATAAAACTTTTGATAAAATATTCATAAGAATAAGTATGAATCAAGTGGCTTTGTGGATAAATAAGTCTTGTAGTTTGATGTAAAAGAAAATGCTCCATATTAACAAGCTGCTGCCTATACAGCATGTATTTTGTAAGTTTGTCAATTCCTAATTAATCTTAAAAATCTTAAAATTGTTTCATTTCTACTTAATCTAAACAAAATTTCTACTTAATCCAAACTAAGTTGTTTCATACCTACTTTTCCGAATGCAAGTTTGTTCATCTCTTCCTAATCCTAAAAAAGTGTGTCCATTCCTACATATGATTAATAATAATCCGAAATTAGTTTGCACGTGCTTATCTAATCCGAAGGAAACTGTTCCATTCCAATTTATCCTATCTAAGTGTATCCATTCCTACTTTAAACGAACTTTGTTTGTCAATTCATTTGATCAAAGTTTGTGCATTACTACTTAGCCCGAATCGCTGAATGCTGTCAAAACGCATGTTAGTTTTTAAAAGCATTCTTCAAGGTGTGAAGACAGTACAAATAACAGTAGTGTTCATTTCCATTTTTTAACAAAAAATGCTTATTTACAGTAACTGAAATAACGAACGGCTCACAACAGAGAATATTCAATTAAAAAACATAACACAAATAATTAATAAAAATAATAATAAATCAATGTATAAGCTATATTTTATTTTTAAAACTTAAAACAGTGTAATGCAGAGGGCCAGTTCTAAAATTATTTTAATTGTGATATGTATTGATGAATTACAAATGTTTAGAAAGATTTGATACTTTGTACATTTTAGTCATCTAAAGTTACAAACTCTAATAGTTCGTTCAACGACCGGACATTGGCAAACCTTGACTCCTTTTATATGGGAAAATAATAAGATCTCAATGTGAAGTCAATAGATATCGTCAATTATTGATAACTTTAGTACTTTTGATATGAGGAAACTGCGAGAAGGTCAACATTGTATTTGTCTATGCATCCCTTTTGTTTTGACGCTGTAAGCAATATAAAAAGAAGAGGAAAACAGAACCTGTATATACGATATACAATGCTCGAATTTGATACATGAAAATATTGTTAATTGATACACAGTCTCTTTGTATGTATAAAATGAACATTGCTTTCTGACTTTACAGAAAGTAGATATGTCATGTTTTAAACTCTACGCACTATATAAATATACAATGTCATTACAAAAAAAAAAACTAGCAGGTTTTTTTTACTTTACTGGACCTGTTACAGGGAATGCAGCTTCACATGCAAAATTTGTACATTCTTTTATTCAAATTAGGCATATTCGGTAAGAATTTCATATTTTTCAATAAGTTTCGGAGATTACAAAAATACTCACAGATGGGCATAGTGTATCTTTTTGGCAAAATTTAAAATGTCACATGTTCGGTTAGAACACGTTATGGTAACTTTGAACATATTCAAACTCAAATCAATTCCAAAGAATCAAAACAATTAAATTTCATACACTGCTCTATCTTTCACATCATATGACGACTATGAAATTGATTTTTATACAAGAATTGCTTTTATGAAACTGCCTCAAGCTCGGTTGCGACAGGAAAATTGAACCTTTGTTTAGACTTTTAAACAACAAATCAAATTAAATGGCAATAAAATATAAACAGAACATTTGCTACTTAAAATGTGAACATAGGAAACCTTTCATTCATTTGACTTTTCATATATTGTTGTCATTCTCAATTTGTAAAAATTATATAAGACTTCCTTTGGAAAGACACGAATTCAATCTTTTGACATCAAATCTAGCAAATCAATAAAAACTGTAATTTTATCTGAAAAAGATAAACTGTTACAGTAAGTATTTAAAATATATCAATGACAATTTGAACAAATATGTTATATACAGTGCAGTATTTTGATTAAAATATTGTAATATTTGTTTCAAGTTACAAACCTTAAATGTTTGGTATTTCATCAATCTAATAAGTCATTTACAATTTTAAAACTTTTGTGTAGCTTTTTTGCAAGGTATGCACATTAAGAATCATTGTTATTGGCAAACCTTTTTGTTTTTTTCTTTTTCCAGATAAAAACCGCACACAAGATGAAAACTGAATGCATTTTTGATGACTATACGAAACGTGTGTTTTAACACACTGTAATAAAAGTGCTTGTTCTATTTTTCCCCGACATTATTCAAATGCATATTCTTAATATCGTCTCAAGTAGATCTTGTTAGAGAAAAGTTTCTTATATTAATCGCTGCCAGTAATCACTTACTTGTAGTTTTTGAAATGTTTTCGTTTATTTATGGCCATGACCTATTTTGATTTTATCTATACTTAATATGGTGATCCCTACATAACCGAATTATCCAAATTATTGACACTAAATGCATTACAATACAATACGCTTTAAACAGTATAAAACGTTTCTAGCATAATATTTAGACAGGTATCTTAGTTAGTACCAACAATATGCAAAAGCAAAACGTTATCTAATTTGGGTTAACAGAGAAATGCAAGTTAACATTTATACAAAATAGTAAATATATGTACTTAATAAAAGTTGCAGTGTATTACATGGGGTATATTTTAGCATATTCATTCAACATGCTGAGTCAATTAACTGTAGTTTTATCGATTTTAACGTTTATATTTTACAGGTTGATAAGATTTTATCACATGTATGGGGCATTCGTGACTATGAATAGCACAGTAAAAGTAAGTTAAAATGAAAAAAAAAAATGTGGTGAATATATTTCATCAAACTTGATATAGGGACATAGGGTTTACAAATACCATACAACCGCCAGTTCGCAATCTCATCGCGTGCTTGAAACAGCTTTGGTGTTTGAAATATTTGAAATAGTTAAGTAAAAAGTAAATTGTAAAGTAAAAAGAAAAAGGGCTGTATCAATATTCAACATTTTAAAAATGACAATGGTGAATTTTAGAGCTCGGAAACATTCGCGAACGTGTTCGTTCATACGATGGTTATCTTGAGTTCAAAGTCATAATTTTATATTTAAAAAAAAAATGTTAAATAAAGCTCTACATCACGTCGCCAATACAAAAATAGTCAATGATTTAAATGATGCCTTTAAGACACCTATTTCAAATTTAATACATGAAAACGTTGATTAATGTATTCTCAAAAGCACCAAATTTGTAACTGACTTGACACGACGTTAAGCTTTCACATCAGTATTAGATAATTTGAAGCGTGTTTTGTTTCCGTTAGCAAAATTATAAACTAAGTTCATAAAATGAATATAAAACAATTACTTGTAATCTTCTTTTTTGACGATTTCCTTTTCCATTATGTGAATCAATAGCTTGCATTATACTGAGGTATGAAAAGGACAAATATTATTTTCTTCTTCTTAGTTCTCTAGGATTTACAAAATAAATTGGTTAAGGATGACATCCACTCAGGTTTTATTTGCAAGAAATCTTATAAAATGTGTCCAATACTATCACATCACTTTATGGCAATTAGGCAACACTTTGAAAATAATTGGAACTTGTTAGATAATTTTGTAATTTTTGTCCTCTTATTTCTTTGAATTCAAAGGTTTTGTCGTAACGAATATGGTAACAAGTAGTTAAAATGGATAATCTGACATTTTTTTAGGGTTTCTTCGTGTATTAGCCTTATGTCTCTAAAAAACTTATTCTTTTTGTATAGAAACTTTTAAGTTATATAATCAAGGGACGGAAATACTAGAAGACAAATAAGGTATGAACATACGCATATTTTTACAACTTACATTTTAAATTAATTTAGATAAAATATCAAACACACACAATAAGTGGCGGCAGGGCCGAGTGGTTATCGCACCAGATAAGCAGTCAAGGGATAGCTTTCAGCGTGAGTGCAAAAACATTGTGTCCATGAGCAAGAAATTTTACACTCGTTGCTTA